CACACACACACACACACACACACACACACACACACACACACACACAGACAGGCATTAATGAAAAATAGTGAACGTCTAACCCTCCTGACGTGCATGACTCTTCCTCGCTCATAAAAAACACATTTTCATGAGTAAATAACTCCCCGAGTCAAATTCTCCCTCTTCAACCTCTCCAGCAGATGAAAAGCTCCTTTCAGTGGCGACAGTGTTACTAATACTGAGCTGAGGTTTATGGTGGTAGTGGCTGAGAGTCGTTCACAACATATACTCTGAGAGTGACGTCTCTGAAAAACAGTATTTTAAAGGTTTGACAAAAACAGCTACAACTCTGTCCTTTTCCTCCATCTTAATCTGAATCTCTGGCATGAAAAGAGGCGGGCTGCGGGCAAGATGCATTTTGTCAAGAATACTATCGGTCTTTAATTTGTTTATCGTGTGTATTTTTGATTTCAATAATGGAGCATACATTTCTATATTCTGATTCTGCTTTACGGATGAATACATTAAGAACTGTCTCAATGAAAATATTGCTGTGTTGCTTTTGAAATGCTCTGAAAACATAATTGAGACTTTCAACCACCGGAACATCTTTTTTTCATGGACTTCATGCACTTCGATGTAAAATAAATATAAAAACAAGAAAGAAAAACATGATGGTTCTTCCTTTTCTGTGATGCTTTTATGAAATCTGAAGATGCTGTGAATGAGGAACACCATGTTGCAACAGCCAGAGTGAATTTTCAGCCCATTAAGAGCTGAAAACACTGAATAATTTGACACAGTCAATCCGAGCAGGAAGAGGCATCATTAAGTCTAACAAAGGACCTCTTCTTATTGTATTTTTGCCAAGTGATTTTAATAAACAGGAAGTGAGGGGGCTGACGGCTTCCTTAACGTCAAGAGTTTGACATGAAAATTGCCATTAATAAAAAAAAATCAGTCATCTATTTTTAAGTGACTTTTTTTCCAAAATACATCAGATATTTACCTTGTCTCTTTAAATTTGTTTTGTTTTCCTCAGTTTCATGTGATGTTAACACAATTCAATGGTTAAAAAATTACCTTTTTTAATATATTTTCAGAATAATATATTTTCAAACTGATTTTTTTTTAGGTTTGACAGGTGATTATTAGAATAACTGAACTATACTCTTAAAAAACAGATTTATCTTTCCTTTAATAGGGTTCCCACGGGTCCTTGAAATCCTTGAAAGTTTGTGAATTTGATTTTTTTAATTAAAATCAAAACRTTGTTGAAGGGTGGCTGGRCTCTCCCTTAGRGATAGGGTGAGAAGCTCGGTCATCCGGGAGGGACTCAGAGTAGAGCCGCTGCTCCTCCACGTCGAGAGGAGCCAGTTGAGGTGGCTCGGGCATCTGGTAAGGATGCCTCCTGGACGCCTCCCTGGTGAGGTATTCCGGGCACGTCCCACCGGGAGGAGGCCCCGAGGAAGACCCAGGACACGCTGGAGAGACTATGTCTCTCGGCTGGCCTGGGAACGCCTTGGRGTTCCCCCGGAGGAGCTGGAAGAAGTGGCTGGGGAGAGGGAGGTCTGGGCCTCCCTTCTGAAGCTGCTGCCCCCGCGACCCGACCCCGGATAGGCGGAAGAAAATGGATGGATGGATGGATGGACGTTGTTGAAGGTGGTCCTTGAATTTGAGGATACAGGTCCTGGAAGGTTCTTGAAAGGTCTGTGAATTTGATGTCAGCCAAGGTGTGGGAACCCTGCTTTAAGTCTTTTATTTATTTAGTTAACTTCGTTCAACTAAATAAATTTAACTTCGTTTGTTTTACTGCTTGAAATACATTAGAGAAAGTTATATTAAATAATCCATACAATGTATATATACTCACTATTTGCATACATTCAGCCATGAGTAGAAACATTTGTTTCACAATAAGCCATGCACAGCAAACACTGTCTTTTTGCTGACAGCGTGATCAGCTAAGAAGGTATTTCTCAATTCTTCTTCAAGGATAACTTCTTTTGTTATTGAGTTCAAACTTGAAAGAAAGGGGAGATAACATCCAGAACACAAGAACGGCTTTAGTTCAATTTTCTTTTCTCTTTCAAACACAGAGTTCTGCCTCTGCTAGCTGTTTTTTCCYTCCTCTTGAAAATAAGATTAAAATGTTATCAGTTGGACCACCTGCACAGAGCTGCTCCGACTCTCACCGCAGATAAACCGTCCGGTTTAATCCTGAGCGCGAGGAACTCACACCGGATTGGGCCCGCAGATTGTTTGAAACACCATGCAGACGTTTGTTACTCTGGATTATTTTTTTTTTAAATCATTCTATTTGAGTGTTACATTAGAAGGCTAAACAAGAAGATAAGCAATCACCTGAAAATCTCTGCTAAGCTCTTGGTTTTACATTAAGAAACGCTGAAACTAAGTGTTCACATCAGATACTGCAGCAAAAAAAAGTTGATTGCCTTCTTTCTTTCCAACAGTAGCTCATAAAAGTGCATGTAATGACCGATAAGGAGTAAATAAATAAGCATTTATTTACAATACCAGTATTTATCTTTTACAGATGTGGATACAGAGCATGGACCACAGAAAACTTTGGACATGGTGTCTCAGAAGCAGCATATTAAAACCATAAGATCATCACAGATTATTCAGAACTTTATGTATGTAAGGAAGTGTGTTCAGTTAACTTCTACTAAGACAGTTAAGCACATAAGAAGTCTGCTTTAGTATTCTTATGAGAAAAGGAATATATTTAGAGAAAACATTGTAAATCTGAGTAAATATAAAGTACAAATTTTCTCTTCTAATAAATACAAGGCTCACACATTTATACACATAAATAACATTCCTGTCCTGACAGCTGACTCATCTAGCTGCACGATACATAAATCACTACAGTGAGTTTCTCATCCTAAAATACATTTAAATTACATTAAAGGTTACCAGATGAAACTTTGTGGAATGTACAGAAGAGTCTGAGATTATTATTTTAAGAACCAGAACCAGAACATTTAAGAACCAGCTACACACATGCAGTTTAGTTGTGCAACACAACATGTCCTGAATTGCAAAGTAAACTCTGAAGCAGCTACACTGTTTATTTTAATATAATTATTATAGGTCCAGATGGATTCTCTGGTGGCGTTTCAGGTTGCATTTCTGGGTGAAGCGTTTACCACAGGCCAAGCAGCAGTATGGTCTCTCTCCGGTGTGGACGCGGCGGTGGGCCTTCAGGTTGCTCAGCTTGGTGAAGCTGCGGCCGCAGAGCGAGCAGCAGAAGGGCCGCTCGCCCGTGTGGGTCTGCAGGTGGGACTTCAGGTTGCTGGGGTGGGGGAAGCACTTGCCACACTGCCCGCAGCGCAGGAGCTGCCTGGAGCCGGTGTAGAGCTGAGAGGTGGGCTGGGGAGCGGGGTGGGGGGTGTCACAGTTTGCAGACTGATTCTGGGATTTGACGCTGACCCAGGAGGCACCAGTTCGATTCAGACCTGCAGCGTGTTTGGCACCGAGGTGCAGCCGCTGCACAGACAGAGGAGCAGCAACGGCTTTACTTGTGACGGAAATCCGGTTAAGCTTATTTACATTTACAGCCTGACAGGTGGCTGTGGACAGTGCTGCGGTGGGGCTGCTTGGAAGTGTGTGGGGGGGCTTTTTCAGCGGTCGGTGCAGATGTTGCATCGCTGCCTGCAATCTGAGACCTGCACCCTTATTAGAATGCAACTTTGGAACCTCCTGCATGGAGGCTTTAGGGTAAATGTGGTTTGGTTTTTGTGCTTCTGAGTTCACCCTGCGTTGCTGCACCAAACAGCTGAAAGTTGATGTTCCAGCTTTTTTATTTTGCTCCTCAGCACGTTCACCCTCCTTACATCCATACGAATCGATAACTTCCTCTTTAATGGTTACGCCCAGCGTGCTGCTGGGTTGAAGTCTGGTTTGGGGAGATGCCAAGGATGACAGCTGAGCTTGGCTCGAGTTAAACTGAACGTCAGCTCTGACCGAGTCTGGAAGCACGCATTCCGCCTGCTTCACAGAACCTTTCACTGGATCAGAATCTGTTTCAGAGTGAAGTCTGTGATTCTGCAGAAGTCCAGCTGCTGCGGCGGGCAGACCAGCCCAACTGGAGTCAAGTTCATAAGTGGAAACATTAGGCTGGTCTGTAGCCATGTGCATTGCTGTCTGCTCCTCTGGAAATTCACAGGAAGTAGATGCTCGTGGGTCTTTTTTAACGGGAGTCTGCAGTATTTCTTCACTTTTCAGCTGAGTCGTCGTAGGTTGAGTCTCACCAAGCTCACTGACGTTGTCTGATTTGAAGGCCACTCCACCTGAGGTAATTTAAACAGAATAAAACAAAGTTTATCATATGATTTTACAGTGACTAAAAAAAGCTTTGTTGCTTTCTCACTTGCTCATAATGTTTACTCAGTAAACAATAGTTAAAACAGCTTAAAAAATTACCAGAAAAACAAAAATGTATTTAAACAAACTGCTTAAAAAAAACACTTTTTTGCATCATATGCCTTTAAGATTCCTCAGCTACATAAATCCCATATTTTTACTTCATTAGTTGTAGACTTTCACACAATACTGGTTAAAAGGTTGAACATATTTACACACTTAAACTGTAATTCAGACTGGAAATGTATGTTAYATAACTGCATTGACAACCCTAACAACTCACAAGCTAATTTTTGGAGTTGACTAAAGAAATGTTTACCTAAATGTCTATATATAAATTCTAAAACAAAGAAATTTATAGTGTTAATTTGTATTTTGGTCAGGAACACTTAACATGTCCCATGTTGCTACTGGTCCAGAGGACCTATACAATTTTTTTTTCCTTTTGATTTTTTACCTGGATTACTGAGATGCATCAGGATGTTGCTACTGGTGTTTTACACAGATTTGTGATCTGTGTAAAACACCAAAAGAACAAAACATCACAATCTTGATCACAATAATCACTCCTATGACCACCTAATGCAAAAATACCAGTGGCATTAAAAGTCATAAATAAAATTTGCATGAAATGCAATGATGATTCTGAGGTTTTTCTCTGGTTTCAGACCACCTTCTGCAATGATTTCATCCACTTACAAGTCTGAACAGAAGTCAGTCAGAAACTCACCATCCAGAGTACTGCTCCACCTTCTCAGATGCAGAGAAGAACACGATAGCTTCTGTAGTTCTTCATCCTTCATGTCCACATTTGGTACCAGGACGACTTCTTCTGTAGTCTGAGGAAGGCATACAGCACATAAAACACAGGTGTTCATATTTGACAGGTTTGTTTTAGCTGCAGCCTTTGACAGGTTCCAGGTTAGACAAAGAACTGCTTCTTGCATCACACCCAGGTGCTACAGCTCACCTGTGACCCTCTTTCGGGGCTCTGAGTGTTTGGTGGATGGTCTGGCAATGCTACGTTGCTTTCTTTGTGGTTTAACATCCAGCATTCAACAGAATCACTTGGATTCTCCACATCACACCTCTCTGACATGTCTGGAACAAGAGAGAGATCAATGCATTGCTATATAACTGGGCACTCCATGACTTATATCGATAGCTGTATGGGTTTATTCTTACCGTCCTGCAGATTTGGAGGCCTCCCTTCAATAGTGTCAGTCCTCTGATCTGCATCAGTCCTCGCGCAGTCAACAAACCTTGTTTTCCCTCCMTCCCCGCTGAGTTTACCCTCGGTGGTGTGCAGCTGCAGCCTCAGGGACTCCAGCTCCTGCTTTCCGCGCCTTACCTCCACCAGGAGCACGTCCTCCACCAGCCTGGTGACCTCGAACATCGCCGTCTTCACCACAGCCTCCATCACATCAGAGAGCTGGGTCTGAAAGGTCACAATCAGGGTGTCCATATCCGACATGATCCACTCAAGTCTGTGTCCAACCTTTTTCACCGGAGTCCCGTTTGTTTTTATCCGCTATAAAAACTCGCTTCACATGGGAGCATTATTTAACATCCCGTTGGAAGTTATACAGCACCCTCTTAATAACACATTGATCTTGTTTATCATAATAGTAACAAAACTAATGCTTACCGACCTCAATGCTAGCTAGCTCGACGCTATCATTCGATTAAAAGTCTGGTTAAAAACAAAAATCAGCAAAMTGTACTGCGCATGTCCCGACGACAGTCTGGCGTATTAATAAATCTAAAGTGGGTTTATCTTTGAGCTAAATACTTATTAATATAAACAAATAGAGCTCGGTGAGTTTCTCTACTTCTGGCCTTTGTTTTTGCCCATCACGTGAACAACAACGCCGTACGGTGGCCTCAGTGGGACAGTATTACTAAACGCGTTTTATTTTATTGAATAAACCTGGGGAGGAAAGCGTGAGAACTCCTTTACTGGGAAACACATTACTGGTCAAGTGATCAAAAGCAATGCTGGGCTAATATGTAAGCAATCTTCAAAAACAAAGAGTGTCTCAGGACTTTTGCTCAATATCCTACGTGTCAAACCAATCCTTTAAACCTAGATTACAAGTTATTGCTTCTCTGAATTTTTCAAAACAAAATGATCAACCTTTTTCWTAAAAAGACATTTCACCATCTTAAAAATTCTGCTGGAAAATAACTTTGTTTTATAAAAAAAATAATTATAAGATAATACAGCATAACTTTGTTGGTCCAGAGTTTTTTTTTTCTTAAAGCCTTTATTTTTTCTTTTTTATTATTGTTGTGAAAACCAGAGGCCAATTTAAGTTCAATCTAAAAGTAAACAGCACTCTCTACTGGAGTAAAGTAAAAGAGCCGTACAGGATCTGTTTCAGTGTTTTGACTTGGTAACAAAATGCTGTTTTAATGATTTGAGTGTTTTAAATGAAAAAGCCTGAGTTGAAATGGTCCACTGGTGACCTGTGCCCCCTCAGGCAGTATTTTTTTTTTTTTTTTTTTTTTTACATGTATGGCCAAAATCTACTGTACTGTAGATAATGCAGACCTTAGTCTCTAAAGATCCCATCGAATACGTCAATGTCATGTTGGTACTGTGGAACCTGAAAAACTCAGAAGGGACTGAAGGAAAGGCAGAAACATGGGAATTTGACAAAAACATTTGTTATAAGTCAGCTTCTGACTGCAATTTAGTTCTAGAAATTAAAAGAAAATAGCAAAAACTGCATTTAAAACACCCATGCAGCATCACTTTTGACAAGTTTATCTAAAATGCATCCTAAACATAAATAAAACAGTCGTTATACTTTATTATAAAACTGCAACGGTCCTTGACTTTGATAATCTGATGACTCTATTGCTCTTTTTGCACCAAACCACACATTTCAATCATAAAACCTGAGTGGGCTTGTCACAGACTGATAGCTACCAGTTTTGCATTTTAGGGTTATTTAAGGCAGAAAACATTATATTAGCCATTTTTACTTGATGAAACTGAATGTCTGGATTAGACTGAATGGATAAAGCATTTTAGATGAGAAGTTAAATATATTTGAGATACAAGAAAATAAGTCCAATTGCATCCTTTTAAACTATTAGGGTTGTTGTATTCAGGGTGACTGAGAATCTACACCAAAGGTTTGAATTAGTCAAATATAGTTCATGAATTACCATGAACTAGATGTAAAACAAGTGTAACATCTGTTCAAATCTGTCCCTGACAGCACAGACTGTCCTGTTTAACCTCCAGTGACTTTGCTAATTTTAGAAACCTACAATAAGAAAAGCACATTAAAACAAAACATGACATCTAAAGCATGTTTCATTTTAAAAAAGTTGAGTAATTACAAGAATARTATTGTTCTTTTATTCCATTTTACTCACATGCAGTGCATTTTAATTACAAACAAATCAAGTACAAAGAGAACACGAAACTAAATGTGAGAATTTTAGTGTCTGGTGTTTGATATTTTTCATACATACAAAGAATGTTTAAAAAAAGTTTAAAAAATAAATATATGTCAGCAACATCGAGTCTTAAATCGGCGGCCTTGTTCTTAAAGGTCTGTTATGTGTTTGCGTTGATGCGACTTCAGATGATCCAGGCGTTTGAAGCTCAGGTCACAGATGGAGCAGCAGTAAGGTCTTTCTCCCGTGTGGGTGCGCTGGTGCACCTTCAGGATGTCCGCCCTCGTGAAGCTCTTTTCGCACATGCCACAGCGATGGGGTTTCTCCTGGGTGTGAATTCTTTGGTGCAACTTGAGATTCCAGAGACGGCTGAATTTGTTCCCGCAAACTGGGCAGCAATAAGGTTTGTCACTGGTCTGGCCACATTTGTGTGATTTTAGGTTTGCGAAGGAAGGAAAACCTTTCCCACAGTGGCTACAGAGGTGGAGTTCCTGTCCTGAGGGAGGCCTCGGGTGGACTTTAGGGTTACAGGCTTGAGGAAAGGTTTTTCCACACTGGTTGCTAGAGTATGGGGGCCCTTGTCCAGTACTTTTATGGATTTGTTTGTAGGTCTTAAGTGCACCAGAATCAGTTAAGGAAGTAAAGCACTGCTGAAGGATGTGGCTCCCACCACCACTTTCTGCAGTTTGGTGCTGTAACCTGTTTCCCAAATGTAAGCTGTTGCTGTAAGCTTCTGAGGACTCGTACATGTTCTCAGTGCCGTCTACAGAGGGGTTGAATCGAATGTCCTGGCCATAGAAACTCCTCCTGCTGCCTGAGCCACCAGACTCTGGATCGGCATAACGGACATTTAGATCCTGCAGATACCCTTCCTCGTCTATAAATAAACAGCTCAACTGTCCACTTACGTCGCAGTTCGTCTTTAAAGGTGATCTTGCTGCTGAACTCTCAACTCTTCTGTTCTCCGGAGAGTTTGCTGGATAACCGTGGTGCTCAGCTCCTTCGGGTCCTTCCGCGTCCTCGTTATACTGGTCCACATAACTAAGACCAGGAGCCGTGCGGCTTTTCGTACTTTGTAAGCCAACAAAGTTACCCATGTCTGTGTCATGGCTGTCCCCATGCTCAGTCTTGTTAAAGCCACCCAAGTCATTGATGCCAAACCTGTTCTGGACTGGAGGTTCACAGGAGCCACTCGTGTGTGCATCTTGGCTCAAATCTGGTCTCTGGTCAAAACCAGACTCCCAGTTCACTTGCGCCTTTGTATTCTGCTCACTGAAATGTTTACTGGGTCCTGGTAGACAAGATGCATCTGTTTCTGAGACATAAAAAAACAAGTTCAAACAATGGTTCAAACGATAGGGATTTTTTTATCTTGCACATTTGCTTTAATTTTTCCAATTCATAGAATATTAAATTACACATGCATGAAACTACGAATAAATATTAAAAAAATATTAGTCAATTCTGCAGCCATAACTTGGAGACTCACCATCTGTGTCGATGTTCCAGCTCTGTGATTCACTGACTTCTGCTGCTCTCTGAAGAGGTTCCTCTTTGAGGAGTTTAACAGTTTTATCCTCATGTCCACCTGAAGCCTGGCAGATATGTTGGAAGATGTGTGTCATCATTAACAGACAGTAATGTGTCCCGAAATATTACCTTTCCTCTGTAATTATTTAATGAGTGATAAATACGGATTTTCTTTTTTTTTTCTTAAGGTTTTAAAATGCACCTGAACCCCTTTTTTACTTTTTTATCCTTTATTTATACAGGAAAATCTCTTGAGACTCATTGTCTTATTTACAAGAGACCTGTAACATAAATCACAACAAAGTAACATAAAAACAATAATAACACAATCTACTTAACCCTTTTTAAAATCTATACATCATCAAAGAAAGGGTTTTCACTGACAACAAATACAAGTGCCTACAGACAGATTTTCAAATCTGTTTATTGTTAAGTCCTGAGAACTAAGGCTGTGCTGTTGGTTTTTGTGTGAAATATAACATGGAACCAGCTGAAGGACGGATTTTTTTTTTATTTTAATCAAATTGAAATGTTTGAATTTAAAGATTATAAAAGGTACAATGGTGAGTGAGGGCTTTGCTACCTGTGATAAATCTAAGCGCTCCATGATAGACAGCATCCAACATACGTAACGAGCTGGCAGAAGCTTTCATATACACAATATCCCCATAGTCTAGAATACTCAGAAACGTGGCAAAAATTWGATATTTTCTGGCATTTTTTGAGAAGAAAACTCTTGTTTCACCTAAGTTTTTTAAGCAGATTTTTAATGTGGGGTTTAAAAGTTACATTTCCATCTATGGTCATGCCAAGATATTTATAGGATGTTACAAAAATCAATGGGCACACCCTGTGTGGTAGTAATAGCAGGGAGAAATGAAGACACCTTTTTCTTGTTAGAAAATAACACACCTTTAGTCTTACTTGCTTTCAGTAGCTGTCCAAGTTGTAATAGTTGAGACTGAAAGCTGTTGAAAGAGGACTGCAAGTGCTCAAAAACAAGAGCAACTGATTTTGCGCGACAATAGATTACTGAACCGTCGGCATAAAAATGCACAGCTGCACTTGTAAGACCATGGCTCAAACTTTTTATATAGATGGTAAACAGTATAGGTCCTAAAACTGACCCTTGTGGAACCCCTCTAGAAATGTCCATACAACTTGATGTTTGACAACCATTGTGTGTACACTGTTTCCAGTCAGATCGTTTAGAAACCTAAAACTGACCCTTGTGGAACCCCTCTAGAAATATCCATACAACTTGATGTTTGACAACCATTGTGTGTACACTGTTTCCAGTCAGATCGTTTAGAAACCTATCTATCACTTTATTTATTTTTTAAATTGCACAAATGTGATTTGTAGAGTTCTGGTTCCTTCTGTTTTTATGATCTCTTATTTTGGTTATCTAATTTT